ACATTACTTACCTGAAAGAGATTGTCATCAATGTTTACAACCACACAGTGCGATTCAGACAGAACAAGCAGGTTCTGGTAAGTCCCTCCCTGACTGTAGAGGACAAGGAAGGCCCTCCCTTGGAGTAAAACACTTTTGAGTAATGGACATTTTTTTTAAATTAAAGTATTAAAGTGAACTGTGTTATTACAAAAGTGCTGTGAGGCAACCACAAATGAGATTTTCAGTTGTGTGGAGTCTTTTTTCTCCATAGCTATGAAAGATACAAATAAATCAATAGATATAGTTTTAGCAATGAAACAGCAAATATCCCAAGGCTTACAATAAAGCCACACCAATTTTTATCAGTGGTAAGGAGATATTTGTTTTATGCTAGGATAATTTAATTTCCGTCCTCTTTATTGGTGTGTAAGAGCATACATAGCTGCTATATTACATTTTTAGTTCAATAATAGAAATTTCTTTGGATGATATGAAAGTACTGTGTTCAGATAATTTTCCTCAACACATGATTTTGTTAATTTAAAAAAAGAAATGCTGTTAAATTATCTGATATATTTATCATAAAACCAGAGAAGTATTGGATTGTAGCATTGACCTGTACAGAAACCAGATTTTAATTTGGCCTATATATAATGAATTCTATTTTTTTTCATTCCTTGTTAGTTGGATGGTGTGAGAGTGAGGCCTCCTGTTCGACCTCATGAAGGTATTCATATATATCAGAGGTTAACAAGAATTTACCTGGAGACAGACTTTGGCTTATACTTGAGCTTTGATGGCAGACAAAATGCAGGTAAGTGATGCTATAAAACTTTGCAGAAATATTTATGCACAGCCCCCAAAATATTCTTATTCCAGAGGAGGTCTAAATCCAAGACAAAATTTGAAATCTTCACCCTTTGCTCTTATGGTCCCTTCATATATAAAATACCAGAAAATAACCAGAAAACACCAGAAATAAGTGTTTCCCAGCAACCAGAAAAAAACCCACAAAACCGGCATTTCTCTGTCTGGATCCCACTGAACTTAGGAGAAATGAAATACAGACTCAGACTGTCACATAGTTGTTTCATGTTAAGTAAGGTCTGAACGATAAAAACAATAGCAAATCACTTTAAATTGTTAACTGGGATGATGGGGCAAAATGGGGATCTGCCCCACTGCCAACTGAACCCAGCCACAGGAGTCATAGGACTGAGATCCTCTATCTATACACTGTGAGTGTATCATTTTGCATGCTTCCTCTCAAGCCCACTCCAAATAATCCCAGTCTTTAGTGTTTGTCAGGACAGTCACATGGCCTGTACACAAGTCACTCATGCCAGCTGGACACATGGTACCTCTTCTGCTCAAAGCAGAGCTCCTGATTTACAGTACTCCTGATACTCCTGATTTACACCAGCATATAGATGTAGTATTTCTGAGTGCATGGTGAAAGTGCCAGGCTATGTATTTACATGGGCATCTTTCCAAACCCTGAAATTTCAAGTGCAGAAAGCAAATGTCTCTCTATAGGAATTCCATTTCTCAGAGATCAAGTGCATTGTAAGTGAAGGGCAAAAAATTGGGTGATGCATTCCGTTTGTTGCAAAGCAGTAAGCAACATGCATTAAGAGCACCCAGGCAGTGATATCATGTTATATAAAAACTTGTGAAAAATTACATTTTTCATGATCCACACTGCAGAGCACAGAAACTGTGCTACATGTATGAACAGGTCTGTTCAGGGCTGTGCTCTTATGCTACATATTAAGCCCGTGTCATATTACCACCTGCAATCTGAGTCATGACATGTGGCATTTGACATTGACTTCTACCTCTTCCATACACTCAATGGCAATAATTTCTATGTAACAGTTTTTTTCCTTCTGACTTTGCCTAGACATAAAACTGGCTACCACCTACAGAAGCAGAGTGGAAGGCTTGTGTGGTGACTTTGATGGGAGATACAGAAATGACTTCAAAAATCCAGATGGTGTTTGGGTGAGGAATGTCAATGTATTTGGTGAAAGCTGGAAAGTCCCTCTGAAAAGAAGCTCTCGTCTCAGGTACTTGATTTTCTATTTAATATCCACAGCAAGCACTGCCACTAGAAGTGAGTGAATTAAGTCACAGTCAACCTCTAGGAATAACTACACTGTCTCATTTCTCTTATCTTTCTTCTTCCCTTTGTTTGTGTGTATGGGCTTTTCCTGCTCATCACTAAGATAAACTATCAGTGCCCTTCTATCTGGCCAAAAGAGGGCTGAACTGTCAGTGCATGACTCCAGTTCAGTATCCCTCTGTGGAGTCACAGCCATTACAACTGTTAGGGCACAGGGGTGAATAACATCTTTGTCAAGCCCATGGTTCCTGACAAAGATAAATACATGTGCTAGATGGGCCTGAGTGAGTGCAAATCCTGATTCAGTGTCAGTCTTTCCTCTGGAACGTGAAGGTAGCTTTGAAATCCATCAACATAAAGTCACAGTTCCTCCCATAAAAGGTTCTTGAAGAGTCTGATTTTCTTGCTTTCATGGCTATCTATTTTGTTTTCTGCTGGTACACAAAAAGTAAGGACATTCTTTTCACCGTACATGAGCATAATATTTGTGGTCAGGAAAATTCTGGGCTAATTAGTCCATACACAACATTGAAAAAGGTTTTTCTTGTTTCCTTGAGGTTTCTTTCCTTCCTGCCATCCTGCCTTGCTTCCTGTATTCCTGTTGCTTTGAAAGCCCTTTGGAATTGCTTAGCCATTAACACATTGCTTTTTTGGAAAGTAAATGGAACTGTATTAGCTGTATATTTTTTGCAAAGATTTGCCTGCCAGAACAGCAGAAAACAGTATACGGGGCAGTGCTGAGCATAAAGAGGCTCTGGAGTCTGTGCCCACAGGAAAATTCTGGCATTTCAGTGAAAGTGAACATATAACCAAGAAACAGGGCTTTACTCCAGCTGTACCCTTCTGACTAACATACAACTTTTGTTGAATAGATTGGATGGAGGAGGCAATGGATAAGGTGCATCATGCAGAATTTCCAAAGAGATAACTACAGATATCCCATTTACTTTAAATATCCATAAATCTCTGAGATGGTAGGAAGTGTTCCAGTACATCTTTGGTTTGCTATACCTCCTTCCCATTCAGGATAAAACATGAAAGATAAATAAGCTTACATTTACACCACAAGGCAGAAGTATTCTTGCAGTGTTGCTCAGAGCATAGTACCATGAATGCTGGATGTTCACAGAACACTGATGATTTCATAATGACTTCATTTACAGACGAGATGTCAACTCAGAAAATGAGTCTGAGGAGGAACCAGATCCAGGGCTTTTCCAAGGTTGCAACGAAAATCAGCTGGAGCAGCAAACCACAACTTCAAGATGTCAAATCCTGACTGACTTGAATGGTCCTTTTGCCAAGTGTCATTCTGCAGTCCAACCAGATTTCTATTTCACGTAAGTGTCTACTGCAGACAGTTGTTCTCCCCATTTCCAAAATAATTTTGGCAATAGCTTCTGATGAGAACTATCTTCAGTCATCTGGAGTCTCCAGGCTATTAATAGGAGCTGAGGATAGTAAGTGTCTTTGTATAACTGGACCTAGTGATTCCATTATTGATATATTTACATCCTCTTATTTATTTTTAAATAGTTGTGATTATATTTCTTTCATCTATTCAGTGTGTCACTTGTCTGCTAGTTCTACAAAGCAGCTTTCCTCTTTCCCCACACAGATAAAGCAGTAGTGTTAAGCATTATCCCTGTAGCCTGGAATTTCCAACATGCTTACAGTTCTCATCCATTCAGTGAGAATTTAGAACCTGGGTCTATTGGGTAGCAGTACTAGATTCATAAAATTTGTATCATGCCATAGCCAAAGGCTGAAGCTGTCAGTGACACTTCTTGAATTTTTCATGGAGAAGTACAAAAACCAGATTAATAAAGATTAACTAACCTGATATCTTCAAGAAAGTTCCCTCTGCTGTGTTGCAAGGTTGCTCTGCCTCCTACATATACAATTCCAACATACCTAATTCTGAGCTGTATTCATCCCCACGTTCACTTTCATGCTTCATCCATCATCAGTCACAACTTTGCCAAGTAGCTGCCAGTTTTCCTTAGTTACATTGATGTGCCTAATATTTAAAGACAGATAAAGCTCACCCCAAAGTCCCTCTCATCTGGGAGAAGAATGTTACAGTACTTTAAGCCAAATAAAGTGGACCACTATCCATATTCTTAACATAAGCCTACTTTTCTCCTCACTCTAGAGTTTGGTTGGGCATCCTGCTCTACCTGCTTAGTGGTTGCCCTGATTTTTCAGAAGTCCTGAATATTTGCTGATTCCATTTATCTTGGATCTCAGTGCCTCTGAAAATCAGGCCGTGAATACCCAAATGATGAGCAAAACTGAGAAGCTAGCACTGACAGACAAACACTGGATACAACAGAATTCTGTGTCAACATTCAAGGCAGATGCACATGGGGAGGGTACCCATGTATTGAAAGAGGCATCTAAGACTTCAGCTGTAAGACTTAGCAGCACTAAAAAGTGCTGTATAAGAAAGATGTAGCCTACAACAGAAGCAGAGGGCAAAGAAGAACTTAGTGTGCTAAGTCAGGTTACTGTTTATTGCTTGGTCCAAGGGAGGTTTAGATTTCATATGAGAAAAACTTCCAATTTAGGGCCATAATTTAGTAGTGGGCCTGGTAGAGTTCGGTTAAAAGTTGGGCTTGATGATCTTTTAGAGGCCTTTTCCAGCTTTAATGATGCTGTGATCCTATATGGACACCTCACATGGCAGCAGCAGCTGCACAACAAATGACCTAATCTTCCCAATCACGTGCTTGAGGTGTCTTGTGTTCCTCTGTTTCCTGTCAGCCAGATAGTTTTGTTGGAAAGCAAAATGAACTCAGACTCAGGCAGAAAAGCAGATGAAAATAACCAATAACAAAAGTACTGGGAATTAATGTTTTCTCATGTTGCTCACAGGAGCTGCCTGTTCGATATGTGTGTGGAAGGAGATGAGGCTGCTGTCTTATGTCGCAGTCTGGAGGAATATGTGCTGGCTTGTCAGCAGCAAGGAGTCAGCATGGATGGCTGGAGGCAACAGACAGACTGTGGTAAGCACAGGAAGAAAGAGAAAGTTGGGATTCTACCTACAGGATTCTTAAAATCTGAAGCTTAAGCCTTTTCCTGTATCATATCTTCTCAGGGAGTAAAAACATGTTGATTCACACTTCACTCACTCTTCACAGTTAAGCACACTTGTTTTTCTGCCCTCTCTTCTGTGTCCTATGATGACTTTTGCATTTAAACCCCAGCTTTGAGGGATACTTCAGAAATCAGAGCTGTCAACTCCCTGTCATCAGAAGTTTTGTGAGTGAAAAGATGTCCCCATTCCCAATGGGACAAAAAGTTTCCATTTTGGAAACCATCAAAAGATACAAATCTGAAGGCAAAACATTTCATTTCAAACTCTCTTTAAATCTACAAAATATTCTAATTATCTTTTTTTTTTTTTTTTTGCCTGTGAAATTTCAAGTTTTAAAAAAAAAGTTTCAACTGAAAACTCAAAACTTTTCACACTAAAAATTGCTGAAATAAGACTTATAATCATCTCCAACATATTTTTCCTCATTTTATTTTTAAGTTTGGAGATTCATCAAACCATGTTTTCCCTGTGTCTGCTATGGTGAGATGACTTTGTATTTCTGGTGAAACACAGTTCCCAAAGTTATGGAACAGCTCTGGCAGTTGCAGGGATGGTAACCCTGAACGTGTGAGAAGTGGTTTTGAGATCAGTGTATACCAGGAATGAGAGCACAGAATGCAAATAGCTTGGATGATGCAACCATCCTGACTTTGGAATCCTTTACTTACAACTTCAGAGCTATTATATATGGATGCACATCTGTGTGTGTCTATTTATCATATTGCCTTCTACACAATGGATCAGAAAGGGAATTCTGTATGTAAGTAACACACAGCAGCCTGCTATAACTGGACTCCTTATTTTTACAGGTATGTCATGTCCTCCCAACAGCAAGTACAGCTCATGCATGTCTGCATGTCCAGCATCCTGCAACGACCTGACCAGCCCCTCTGAGTGTGAATCACCCTGTGTTGAAGGCTGTGAATGTCTCCCTGGTTATGTTCTTAGTGGCTTTGACTGTGTGCCTTACAAACAGTGTGGCTGCACATACCTTAACAAATACTATGAGGTACGGTCTCTGTGTGGGTCAGGCAGCTCCCACAGCACTAAACAGTATTTTCTCTTGTTAGTTATTTTGACCATCTCCTCATAATCCTCAGCATGTAATTTTACAGTAGAAACATTAGAAACAAAGAGCAATTGTTTAATAAAATTCTGGTTTCTGGAGAAAGGGAAAAGAGCTCAAGATCTCTTGGTCTCCCTCTGAAAGTCTGAAATGGCAGATAGCATTTCCACATTGCCTTGGAGGTATGATGTGATTCATCTGCCACTCACCCAAGCAACAGTTGCCCATTTTTTGTTGCTCATGAGCTAGGGTCTCACGCCCCAAATTCTTCTTTTGCTTTCTTTGTTGGGCCATCCACAAGTTTCAGAGAGCTGCATTAATAAGATGCTTGCTTTGGGTTTTTTTACAAAGTACTTAAGAAAAACCCAATCTTCCCTATTGCCATTCATAAGGAAAGCATTGGAGAGAGTATAATGAGGGTTCCAGTGCTACATTCATGTTTTTTTCCTGGCTGATTTTATTTGATCTTTTTTAACATCTAACTCCTGTTTTTCCAGATTGGAGAAATATTCACCACTGATGACTGCTCTCAGAAATGCCAGTGCACAGAAAGCTCCACTGTTTTCTGCTTGGATGAAGTGTGTGGGTCTGCAGAAATCTGTGGCATTTCAAACTACAGTCGTGGATGCTACAGGAGTGAGTCAACCACTATCACATTGTCTTTGATGCTGTGAAGTCTTGACTAACTTTAAAGGGCATCATTGGGTTAGGGATAGTTGCAAGCGAGAGTGTACAGAAGAAAACCATGAAAGGGATCTTGCTCTGATGTTTCACTAGAGAAACAGTGTTTCTTTCCCTCATTCATGTTGTCAGATACAAGAAACATGCTGAAATACAGGGAATGTGCAGCATTAGGAGTCAGCGTAATCTAAGCAAGAACAGTTCTCTTCAGGGTTGGATTATCTGAGAGTCTACTGTTTCTCCTTTTTTCCCAGGTGGTCCATGTATGCCAAACCCTTGTAAGAATGATGGCATTTGCTCTGAAACTTCCAACAGCACCTCCCTCCACTTTTGTGAATGTTCAGAACTTTACACAGGACTAAACTGTGAGGCTGAAAAAATAGGTAATAAAAATATTCTGTATTTCTCTGTCTGCATTAAACACATCCTTTTCAAAAATGGATGTTGTTGTGGAGAAGAACTGGGCTAGCTCTTCATTTTCATGATGTAGGTTAGTAACCTAGTGGGTGAGAGCCTGTGGTCATCCAAGCAGAGAGAAGGGTCAGAAGTCCATTGGACAGGTACCAGAAAGCAGGACAGCAGGGCTTGGTACAGCACACAGGACCTGGCTCTGACACCTCTCCAGAAAGCCACAGAGAACACACAGACAGAAACAGACAGAAAAGGGCGGAGAAAAAACATTTCTGTTCACAGCATGGTTAGCTTTCAGTGACAGGGCTCTTGTTTGTTCTTCAGCTGAAGACCCTGACAAGGAGGATTCGGGCCACACCATTGCCATTGTCGTCGCAGTCGTGGCAGGAGTAGCTGTTATTGTCATTCTCATCTCCTCTACAGTGTTGCTGCTCAGGTAAGGCTTTTCCCAGCTTTGCTACATTCAGCAAAGTAAAGACACCTCTTTTAGCACCTGTAAACCTCAAAACTCTCATCAGTCACATATCTGCAAGAACAGAAAGGAACCACAGCATTGGGGATCTCTTCTGAGGAATGTGAGGGAAAACTTAACTGTTTTTATCAGAAATGATAACATTCCATTTCTTTTACACAGGGCATATGCACCACTTATCATAAAACTCTAGCTTCTCCAAAATCCACTTCTGTTCATGCTCACAGCATTGTTTGATCTCTCACTATAAATAAGAATTGAAATTAAAATAGGTTGTTCTTTTCTTCTTTTTTTTTCCCCATTGTACAGAAAGAAGAAAAAGGTGGATACAGTTATTATAACAAGGGATTCTTCTTTGAAAGGGTCCAGGGATAAATTGGATGCCAGAGTACGTGAGCAAGATTATGGCTGCATTGTGAACCGTGCATTTGATCAAAATGAATCCCCAAATACACAACTATAGTTAACAATATTATTCCTATTAATTTCTCATAATTTTTACTCTGTATTTTAATCGTATTTCTAATACTTTGAGAAGAAATAATAATAAATTTATCATTGCATTTGTTGAAAACCTTTGTAATTGTTCATTTAAAATAGCTCTCAGATCTCACATCGTAGGCCCAAAATGAAATATGTTCTAACTGACAGAAGAGACTCTGCTGTCTTCAAAGTTGTTTGAAAAGCACAAATTCCAGACAGATCTTGATGGCACAAATGTGCTGCACAACAAGACATACACACCTCTGAGAGATGTACAAACCATAGGCTGATGAGGTCAGAATTCAAACTGAAAGAGAGCAGGTCAAGGTTAGATATCTGAAAGTAGGTTTAGGTTAGATCTTAAAAAGAAATTCCTTACTATGAGGGCAATGAGGCCCTGGAATGGGTTATCCAGAGAAGTTGTGGATGCCCTGTCCCTGAAAGTGTTCAGGGCCAGGTTGGACAGAGCTTCGAGCAATCTGGTCTAATGAGAGGTGTCCCTGCCCATGGCAGAGGATTGGAACGGGGTGATCTTTAGGTTCCTTCCAACCCAAACCATTCTGTGATTCTATGAACAATTTATAGCATCCCAGGCAGGTCTTCATGAGATCTTACTCAAATCCTTCTATGGGGAGGGGATTAGTTGACCAACATGGACACAGTTCTTTACCCCTCTTCTGGCAAGGCATGTCCAGCTGGAGAGAGAAAGAAACAAGACACTGAGCTCACCTAAGGATAGATGTAATAAAAAGGATGACCTTCATTATCCTCTTAGAGTGGAGGGGACAGGAAGCAGGCTTGTCATCAGTCCCCAACCTGGGGGACTAAGTAAGAGCATAACTTAGCAAAAACTTTCTGAAGAATGAGATCGTATCATAATGTCTCCTTGGGGGTCTTTGCAAACTCAGAAGCTGCCACACTGATGAATGTGAGAGGAGCTCTGCATCAGCCCCAGACCATACCTAGGACTCCCCTACATCAGGAGACCAAAGGTATTTGCAGCAATGCCTAGTTACATGCTGTGTGTGAGACCCACCCCATGACAGACCACTCACAAAGCTCAGGGACTGAAGCATTGCCTGAGCCTTGTCCAAGACCAGAACAGATTAGCAGAGCTATGAGTGAAACTTTGAGATGTAAAGCACCATGGAAATATTTCTGGTGCTTTCCCAGTTTGTTCTGGGTTACTTTCTGGTTGTCGAGGAACACATATACTGCAGGTAGCTCAGTGTGCAGCTGCAGTGTAAGGTGCAGACTGAGCTCTGGGTGGCAAGGCCTGGCTGAGCTGATGCACACCCTCTACATAACAAAGGGCAGGGGGGCCTGTGACACAAACACATGTACAGACACTCAGAAATATTGTTGGAGCTGAGGACCCCAAACTGTGAGGGTACAAAATTCACAGGGTTTCTTTTGTTTGGGGTTCCTCCTTGGAGGCATCCAGCTCAAGATGTTGCTTTGTTGTTGCATCATGATTAATTTATTTTAAGGATCCAGATGCTTGAGACTCTGCTAGGGCAAACCTGGGGCTGCACAGGTGAGAAAACTTTGGATGTGAGTGTGAGGGGTACAGGGAGTCAAGGGGGACACCTCAAAGGGACTCAGACAGGGCTTCAGTCCCAGCTCAAGTGCAGCATGTGTGACTGCCAGAGTGGGTCCTGAATGGTTGGCCAGGAGGGTCTCCTTAACATGGCTTGCTGTTTTTACTTCTGTAATGCTTGTTATTATTTAATTGCCCTTTTCCCTTTCCCGTGTCCATAAATCCATGTGTACTGTTAGCCAGAGAAGTATTTGCAGTCTCCATGGTGAGTTAGGTTATTCTGGTCCATTCAAGAGCACACCAGCTGCCCATACACACAGGCTACATCTCTTTTGGAAAGGGTATGAATAGAAAGGGCCTTTCAACCTCATTACACAATGAAAATCAATCGGTGAGAGAGGCCTACTCATGCACAAATGAACTGTCAACGTTATGCTGGAATTTCACTGTGTTTATAATACCACCTTTGCTGGCTGTGCAGTGGCAGTTTCTATTGCACTCTCGTGCCTGCCACAGCGTGATTCCGCGACTGCCAAGCAGTGCTGACCACACTCACCTCCCTTTGCCCTGGGTGGGAGCACAGGCCAGTCCCTCCCCTGCAGGATCCCAGCCCAGGCTCCCCCAAGCAACAGGACCCTGCTGTGCCCAGGTAAAGCAGATATCTGGGTTTCCATGTATACGTGTGGGGGTTTTTCCACACCACAAGAATTGCCTTGGTGATTAAATTTCCACTGCAAATCCTTGCAAATAGTTCAGATTTAAAGATGGGGATGATACAGACAGCAGAACTGTCGTCAAATGCTCCTCTGAAATAACAATTAATGTCACTGGAAGACAGAAAGATGGCAAATCTTCCACTGCTCTCATCTTTTATATCAACCAACTTGCTGGCCTGACTTCTGAAAATGCAAGGTTTTAAATACTGCTTAGTTCAACTTACCCAGAGGATACTTTTCTCATTAGTTGTAGCACATTGTGCCAGCAACAGTAAAGGAGACAGCTGTACAGAGTCAGCTGTGCCTGTCTCTTGGACAAGGACAGTGGCATGGCATAATCATGAAATTCCTCGGCAGTCCCAAAGGAAAGGCACAGGCCACGTTATAAAAACACATCCTAAAAATCCCTTTGCCCTAAAATTATTCCGCTCAGAGCTCCACCTCCTTTGTTTCTCATCACGGTGAAGAAGTAGAATGGCAGCACCCCATTTTTGCCTCGAAAGGTTTGCTGCTGAGGGATGCCCACTCACCGCTCGGCCGAGCGGGACCAGAGTCGCTCCGCGGCTGGAGGGGCTCGAAGAGCTGCGGAAGGCTCGGGGAAAGTGCCAATGGCACCTCCTCCTCGGGGACAGGATCGGATTTTCCACTAAAACCAGCGGTTTTCGCAACAATCTCGGGAGCGGAGCGTCCGGATGGGAGGGGCGGTGGGAGGGAGAAGGCGGGGGCGGTGGGACGGGACGAGATGGGAGAGGAGCCGGACGGAGCCGCTCTCGATCAGCGTCGCCCGTGAGCCCGACAGCAAGCGCCATCTTCATCCTATTTATAGCGGGAGCAGCGGGCCGGGATCCCGGCCCCGGCAGCAGCGGGCCAGGCGCTGAGGTGAGCGGAGCTCGGGGGCTGCGAGCGGGCGATTCCAGCAGGACGCGGCCCCTCCATCCGCACGGGCCGGAGGTGCCCCAGGGCCCGGGCAGGGCTGGGCCCCGCGGGCAGCCCCGGGCCGCCGCGTCCCGGCAGCGGAGCGGCCCCGAGCCGGCTCCGGCCGAGCGGGGCCGCCGCTCCGGCAGCCGCTGCCCTCGGCGCCGCCGCTGACACCCTCCGTGCCTGCGCTGCCGGCAGCTGCCCCTGCACAGCCCTCGCCTCCCCGCTGCGCTCTGCCCTGCGCTCAGCCAGCCCGGCGGAGCCCGCACGGCCCCACCCAAACACCCCGAGATGGCACAAGGCGGGCGCGACCCCCGGCCCGGGGACCTGATCGAGATCGACCGGCCAGGTTACAAGCACTGGGCGATCTACGTGGGGGATGGATATGTCATCAACGTCACACCTGTAGGTAAGGCCGGTGCCGCCTGGCAAGGTGTAGAGTGGGTGTTGGGATGCACCAGGAGCCCTGTCTCCCTCCGTGTCCTGCTGCTGGTAAAACCTGTGTGTGTAGATGACCTTTCCGGGAGCAGAGGAAAGCAATCTGAGGTCGTGCAGAAGCCAGAGAGGGTCTGCCTGCCTGCCTTATCTCTTCCCTGACTTCCCCAGATGAAGGAGCCCCATCTCTGTCAGTGAGCACCACATCAATATTCACCAGAAAGGCCAAAGTGAAGAAGCAGCTCCTGAAGGAGGTGGTGGGAAATAATAAATGGCGTGTCAACAACAAGTACGACCGCTCCCGCACTCCTTTCCCTGTGGAGGAGATCATCCGGCGTGCTGATTATTATCCCTGCCTTTTTTATATTATCATGCTGGGGGGGAGTAAATATAAGTTCTCATCATGTTTCCAGCCTGAGTTTTACTTTCCCTTTATAGGTCACAAAAGCTGTAATTGGTGCTACAGCAGCTGTAGGAGGTATCCTCCTTGCTGGTCTTGCTACCGTTGTTGTGAAGGGCTTGTTTGGGGACTCATCCAAGAGAGAGAGGAAGTACTACTGATGTGCTGTCAGGAAGAGCTCAGACCAAGGCAGGGGCATCTCCTGGCCACAGCAGTCACTGGCCAGCTTTTGCTGCCCCTGCCATCAATGCTTCCTAGTAACCGTGCCATCCTTGCTGTAAATATAAAATAATAAAAGAATAAATAATGACTGTTTAATTAAATAAAATGTCCGAAATCCAATCTTTAATTTCCCAAAAATCTTCTTTTATCTAACTTTGCATCCAAATTCAACTGTCCAGCCTTGCTTTTCCCTGCTATCTCATTAAGAAATAAAAAGTCAAGTTTGGCATCATTTAAGGTGACCTCCAGCAGCATTAGCCTGCTTGCCATTTCTACTTTTATTTCATTGCCTGTGATGATTTTTGTGGTAGTCTGGGTGCATTGCACAGAAGCCTGGGTGCAGGCTTTTCATCCATTTTCATCAATTGGTTCCTGTAGGCTTTTTCTGTGTATTTGTGATTTTAACCTCAACTTTCAAAAAAAGTCAAAAAAGTACTGCTGAGGGTTTTCCAGCTGAGGCTCTGTGTAGGTGGGAAAGTCCTGGCTGCAATGTCTGCACAGGAGCAGACAGGGCATGTGCAGTGTCTTGAGCCTGTACTTGTGCTGCTTAAACTGAGAAACTCCTGGGAGACGGAGGAAAGGTCAGGTCTCATAAGCTGTACCCTTCAGAGTTTTACAGGAGTGCTCTGGTTTTGGCATGATGGTGTTTTGCTTGTTTTTTCCCTGCCTACAAAGTGTTTCATCTCCCAATGTCCTGAGCCACACCATTTCCTTGGCACAAAGATGATGTGAATTGCTTTTTTAAACAGCAGTTTTTCAGTGTTTGAAATAACCAAGCCAAAATTTCCAGTTGTATTTTGTACTGCTCTTTGTTATTACATCAGAATGAAGTTCTTAGTTTTAACACAGAAAAACACATTACAATCGTAATGAAAGTGAAACTGCTTTCTGGATTCCTGTAAATGGAATTGAAACTTCTTTCACAGCTGATCTGTTTGGGTGGTTATACAGTAACCCAGGAGCTTTAACCTTTCTGCTCTCAGGGCATTCTCTCTGCATAAGAGAGCGCTGATAAGGGAGCAGCATATGGACCTCTCACATCTCTGCTTCATGCTGGAATACAAGAGAACTGGCATTATTTTATCTGGGGTATTGTCTTGTTCTTGAAAGCTGCAACATTTCACAGAATGCAGAAATTTGCAGTTGTACTGGACATCTCTTTGCAGTCAGGGTGATGTTGTTCAAGGTGGGATACCTTTCCATGGGGCCTGGTGGGTGCATTGACAGAATTTGGTGGAACACTGCTGGAACCCTAATGTGAGAGTGTGAGGAGGTGCAGCAAAATCCATCACTTGCTACATTCTGCACTTCTGAGGCCTTCCAGGAAATTCTGGCAAGTCCTGAGACCTGCTCAAGTTGCCATGGAGTAGAGTCAAGGCTGTTCTTTTCCCTACAGCTGAGAGAACTCTCATTGCCTGTGCTATGGGGCACACCCAGCACAGGCACAGTGTGTCCCTGAAAAGAATGGCATTTGTAGGACATTAAATATCTGCATCTAGTGCACATCAGAGGATGAAAACCTGGGATGATTCGGTATAAGACAGGGAAGCCACAGCATAGTGCAGCCTTGAGCCTGGATCAAGGGCCTCACCTGGTCTCCTCTTCCTTTACTTTGTAGGTGGGGTAATGTAAATCTAACCCATCAAGTTGCTGCTGCATAGTTTTCGCATTTACTCAAGGCTATTTACACTGACTCTTTACATCCTCTACTGGATTTGGTAGTGGTTGAGTCTACACAAGCCAGACTAGAAACATGATCCAGAGGTTGCACTTTTACAAAATGATATCCTGCCATATGTACGGGAGCAGTGTCAGAGCTGTTGCCTGCCATGGAACAGAAGCATCCCTTGAGGGCAGGGGCATCTGAAAAGAGGGGGTGACCCAAGTTCCATGGAGGCAGGACCAGATTTTTCACCCAACAGTGGTTTTAGCACCAACCTCGAGAGCATAGCCTTCCTGGAGCAGGTGGCGGGTGTGCCCCGACGGGATGGGTCCGGGGCAAAGCTGGCAGTGAGCCCGGCAGGTTACACCCTAGCACCTCATGCTCCCTATTTATTGCGGGGAGAGGGGACTTTGAGCCCGGCCCCGGCAGCAGCGGGCCAGGCGCTGAGGTGAGCGGAGCTCGGGGGCTGCGAGCGGGCGATTCCAGCAGGACGCGGCCCCTCCATCCGCACGGGCCGGAGGTGCCCCAGGGCCCGGGCAGGGCTGGGCCCCGCGGGCAGCCCCGGGCCGCCGCGTCCCGGCAGCGGAGCGGCCCCGAGCCGGCTCCGGCCGAGCGGGGCCGCCGCTCCGGCAGCCGCTGCCCTCGGCGCCGCCGCTGACACCCTCCGTGCCTGCGCTGCCGGCAGCTGCCCCTGCACAGCCCTCGCCTCCCCGCTGCGCTCTGCCCTGCGCTCAGCCAGCCCGGCGGAGCCCGCACGGCCCCACCCAACCACCCCGAGATGGGACAGGACAATTGCAAACCCCAGCCCGGCGACCTGATCGAGATCGACCGGCCACTGTACCAGCACTGGGCGCTCTACCTCGGGGATGGATATGTCATCCACGTCACAGGTAAGGCTTGGGCGTCCTGGCAAGGTGCAGAGGGGGTGCTGGGATGCGCCAGGAACCCTGACTCCATCCTTGGGCCCCTGTGTGTGTAGCTGGCTTTTCCAGGAGGACCCAGAATCACATCTGACGTCCTGGAGTGGCCAGAGAGGCTCTGCCTGACTGCATTACCTCCTCCTTGGCTTATGCAGATGAAGGAGGAGCCTCATCCGTTTGGCTTAGCAGCTCTTCAATACATGCCGCAAGAGCCAAGGTGAAGAAGGACCCGCTGGTGGAAGTGGTGAAAAGTCACAAATGGCGTGTCAACAACAAGTACGACCGCTCCCGCACTCCTTTCCCTGTGGAGGAGATCATCCGGCGTGCTGAGCTATGCATTGACAGGGAGGTACCATATAATGTCCTTAAAAGCAACTGTGAGCACTTTGTGACAATGCTTCGCTACGGAGAAGGAGAGTCTAGGCAGGTGAGTGTCCCGGGGTGAGCCCCTGGTGCCTCCCAGAGCCCCTCCTGGCTGCTGGCTGTGAGCTGGGCACTGGGACACAGCCTGCAGCCTGCATGGGGACAGCCCAGTGCCAGGCGTGGGCTCCAAAGCAGCGCTGCCTCCCCAGAGCCCCTGGGCCTGGAGGGTCCCTGTGCTCTGCCTGCAGCCTGCCAGTGCCCTCTGACTGAGTGCCACCTCCTGGGGGCACAAACCTGCCTGTTACCCCTTCTGATAACGGGGTGCCTCTCCCTCACTGATTTATTTACCCTCATTATCCCTGCCTTTTCTATATTATCATGTGTGGGAGTTGTAAATAGAAATGTTCCTTATGTTTCCAGCCTGTGTTTCGTTTTCCCTTTTATAGGTCCAAAATGCAGCTGCTGGCAGTGCTGCAGTAGCTGTGGGAAGTATCATTCTTGGTGTTGCTGCTGTTGTTGGGATGGCATTGTCCGAGAGCGCATCCAGGCGATAGTGCTACTGATGGGCTGCCAGGAAGACCCAGAGCAAGGCACGCAGGGTCCCTGGCCACAGCAGTCACTGGGCAGCTTTTGCTACACAATGTGCCATCAAGGCTTCCTTGAACAGTGCCACCCTTACTGTAAACATTAAACAATCCCTAATAAAATATCTGCATCACAAACTCATATTGCCCTAAATTCCTCTTTTATCTGAATATTGTTTTGTGTGCAAGTTCAGCAGTCCAGCCGTGCTCCTTCCTACCATCCCATTGTGACAAAAAAGTCAGTGATTTATAGGAATGCTCTACTTTTGCATGATGGTGTTTTGCTCAGTTTTTCCCAGCCCACAAAGTGTATTTTTCCCTGGCTCTTCTGGCTCTCTTTGGGAGCAGCAGACCTCCAAATGTGGGTAGGTCTGACAGGAAAACCCACTGGGGTCTTCCTCACTCAGCTGTTTGTTCCACTGTGCCATTTAAGTTTTCTCCAACCCCCCTGTAAGTGCAGTGATTGCTGGCATTGGACCTGAACAAGCATGCCAGGTGATTTTTGTGCTCCCTTGCAACCCAACCCACTATAGGATTCTGCTCTTTCAGCCGCCAAAAAAGCACTGAGGCTTAAAGAATTGCAAGGGGAGCAATGGGACTTTGCCTTCCATAATGTGGGGTCATGGTCACTTCAGTGATCAAATGTTGATCCCAAAGTGTGTTCATAGTTCCAGCACCAGATCAATCTTCCCCCAGCCAGCAGGAAGGCAAAGCCAGGGTCCCTGCAGTGCTGGGGGTCAGGGATGTGAAGAATGAGCTGTGCAGCACCTGTGCTTCACCTCCCAATGTCCTGAGCCACACCATTTCCTTGGCACAAAGCTCATGTGTGCATTGTCCTGGAAGAAAACTGTTCAGGCCAGGTGTGCTTTATTCTCCTGGAGCTGCAGGATCTGCGTTGAGTGTTTGGAAGCAGGTCACCTGCATCCCACCTGTGAGACACAGAACCCTGGCTTGCTTTTCTTACAGGCAGCTGCCTGGCCTGCAGGGACAGCTGAGGGCAGCACAGCTGTGTGTGAGAGGCTGGCTGCTTTTGTCTGCTCTGGACAGCTTGTCCAGGCTTAACCCCAGCCAGCAGCAAAGCACCAGGCAGCCACTGGCACACTCACTGCCTGTCAGCCCCATCAGGGAGGAAATCACAAAAGCTGAAGTGAAAAACTTGAGGATTGAGAAAAAGATGGTTTAATAGATATCCTAAAGCTCTAAATTGAATGAAAGCAAGTCAAGGAATTAATTGATTGCTTTTGTTAAACATCAGTTTTACAATGTTCAAAATAACCAAGTCAAGCTTTCTCTTTATTTTTGTTCTGCCCATTATTAATATATCTGAGTAAACGTATTGGCTTTAATACAGGAAAACACATTGTAATGAAACAAAGTCAAATTCGTTTTTGAATTCCTGGAAATGGACTTGAAACTTTTTCATGGGTAAACTATTTAGGTTATAAAGTAACCTAAGTAAGTTTTCTGCTCTCAGAGCATTCTCTCTGTACTCCCTGACAAGGGCAGCATATGGAACTCTCACATCTCTGCTTCATCCTGGAATACAAAAGAACTGCAATTATTTTATCTGGGGAATTGTCTTCTTGTTCTTGAGAGCTGCAACATTTCACAGAAAGCAGAAGCTTGCAGTTGTACTGGGCATCTCTTTGCAGTCAGGGTGGTGTTGCTCATCATGGGCTGCCTTTCCTTGGAGCCTGGTGGGTGCATTGACAGGATTTGGTGGAACACAGCCCAAACCATAAGGTGAGAGTGTGAGGAAGGGCAGCAGAATCCATCACTTGTTGCATTTTGAGCCTTTGTAGGAGCTCCTGGCAAGGCCAAAGACCTACATTTCTCATGGAATAGAGTCAAGGCTGTTCTTTTCCAGAGACTGGAGACAAATATCCTGGATTATGGTCAGGGGCACAGACACAGCCTGTCCCTAAACAGAGGGGCTTTTGTAGACATTTCAAGCACCTGAATGTGGTGGACATCAGAGGATGAAAACCTGGGCTGATTCAGTGCTATCCAGGGAAGCCTCAGCATCGTGCAACCTGGTCCCCTTGTCTGTGTTTGTGGGTAGGGTTAACATCAATCTAATCCATCAGCTTTTTGCTGCAAAGTCTTCTGCCTGGGTGGGCTTAACACAAACCTAATCCATCAGCTTTTTGCTGCAAAGTCTTTTGAATTTACCCGAGGGCATTTGGGATCCCTCTGCAGCATCCTCTGCCATTTCTGGTAGCAACTGACAGACTGGTAGACAAGGCAGGTTTTAATCATGATCCAGTGGTTGTTGTTCTGCAAGAAAATGTCCAGTGGAGTGACAGAGAGCAGTGTCAGGGCTGTCCCATCACTGCATGGGAGGGTGACTCGGGGATAGAGTCTCCCCACAATGAGGTGGTGGCCCCACTTCCTCGGCCACAAGATCACGTTTACCACTCGACAGGTTGTTTTGGCACCGCCCAAAGGAGCGGAGCCTTCCCCCTGCGGGGCGGTGGATGGTGCCAAATATGCAGCTGCTGGGGCAGGACGGGCAGTGACCTCTCAAGAACGGCGGAATAGTCACTGGGGCGATATTTATAGCGGGAGCAGCGGGCCGGGATCCCGGCCCCGGCAGCAGCGGGCCAGGCGCTGAGGTGAGCGGAGCTCGGGGGCTGCGAGCGGGCGATTCCAGCAGGACGCGGCCCCTCCATCCGCACGGGCCGGAGGTGCCCCAGGGCCCGGGCAGGGCTGGGCCCCGCGGGCAGCCCCGGGCAGCCGCGTCCCGGCAGCGGAGCGGCCCCGAGCCGGCTCCGGCCGAGCGGGGCCGCCGCTCCGGCAGCCGCTGCCCTCGGCGCCGCCGCTGACACCCTCCGTGCCTGCGCTGCCGGCAGCTGCCCCTGCACAGCCCTCGCCTCCCCGCTGCGCTCTGCCCTGCGCTCAGCCAGCCCGGCGGAGCCCGCACGGCCCCACCCAAACACCCCGAGATGGCACAAGGCGGGCGCGACCCCCGGCCCGGGGACCTGATCGAGATCGACCGGCCAGGTTACCAGCACTGGGCCCTCTACGTGGGGCGTGGATATGTCATCCACGTGACAGGTAAGGCTTGGATTGCCTGGCACAGTGCTCAGTGGGTGTTGGGATGCCCCAAGAGCCCTGTCTTCCTCCATGGGCTGGGGGTGGACTCTGTGTGTGTAGATGTCCTTTCCAGGAGGAGTCAGAAACCCATCTGAGGTCCTCGAGGGGCCAGAGAGGATCTGCCTGACTGCACTGTCTCCTCCTTGGCTTATGCAGATGAAGGAGCCACATCCCTTACGCTTAGCAGCTCTTCCATACGCGCCACAACAGCCAAGGTGAAGAAGCAGCTCCTGAAGGAGGTCGTGGGAAATGATGAATGGCGTGTGAACAACAAGTATGACCGCTACTACACTCCTTTCGCTGTGGAGAAGATCATCCGGCGTGCTAAGCAATGGATTGGTAGGGAGGTGCCATATGATGTGCTTAACAGAAACTGTGAGCACTTTGTGACAGAGCTCCGCTATGGAGTAGGAGTCTCTGAGCAGGTGAGTGTCCCGGGGTGAGCCCCTGGTGCCTCCCAGAGCCCCTCCTGGCTGCTGGCTGTGAGCTGGGCACTGGGACACAGCCTGCAGCCTGCATGGGGACAGCCCTGTGCCAGGCATGGGCTCCAAAGCAGCGCTGCCTCCCCAGAGCCCCTGGGCCTGGAGGGTCCCTGTGCTCTGCCTGCAGCCTGCCAGTGCCCTCTGACTGAGTGCCACCTCCTGGGGGCACAAACCTGCCTGTTACCCCTTCTGATAACGGGGTGCCTCTCCCTCACTGATTTATTTACCCTCATTATCCCTGCCTTTTCTATATTATCATGTGTGGGAGTTGTAAATAGAAATGTTCCTTATGTTTCCAGCCTGTGTTTCGTTTTCCCTTTTATAGGTCCACAAAGCAGCTGCTGGCAGTGCTGCAGCTGCAGCAGCTGGTGTTGCTGGTCTTGGTGGTGCTCTCACTGTTGCTGAGTTTGCTGGTGCTGCTGGTATTGCTGGTGCGGCCGGTGTTGCTGGTGCCGCTGCTGCTGCTCTCGCAATGGCATTGTACGCCAGCGCCTCCAGCCGATAGTGCTACTGATGGGCCGTCAGGAAGAGCTCAGTGCAAGGCAGGGGCATCTCCTGGATACTGCGGTCAAGGTCAGCTTTTGCTGCCCATGCCATCAAGGCTTCCTAGGAATTGTGCCACCCGTGCTGTAAGCTTTAAATAAGCCTTAATTAAACATCTGAAATCCAAACTCCTGTTTTCCAGAAATTCTCTTTTATCTATTTGAATATAGCTTTGTTTGCAAGTTTAAAAATTCAGCTTTGCTTCTCCCGGCCATTCCAGTTAGGAATAACAAACCAAGATTGTCACCATTCAAGGTTATGCCTAGTACTTCTAGCTTACTTGCCATGTAGGCTTTTATTTTACTGTGTGTGATGGTTTTTGTGGTAGTCTGGGAGAAATTGCAGGCTAGTTATCCATTCCTTCCCCATCCCACACACCTCCCATGGAGTGCTTTGCGGAGCACCTGAACAAGTCTGCTAGGTGATTTTTGTGATTCCTTGCAATTCTCAACCCCTTCTTGGATTCTACTATTTGAGCTGCCAAAAAAACACTGAGGGGCTTAAAGAATTACAAAGAGAGCAAGGGGACTTTGACCCACGGAGCTGTGGCCATTCTCTCTTCAGTGACCAAATGTTGATTCCAGTGTGTTCATAGTTCCAACACCAGATCAATCTTCCGCCAGCCAGCAGGAAGGCAAAGCCAGGGTCCCTGCAGTGCTGGGGGTCAGGGATGTGAAGAATGAGCTGTGCAGCACCTGTGCTTCACCTCCCAATGTCCTGAGCCACACCATTTCCTTGGCACAAAGCTCATGTGTGCATTGCCCTGCAAGAAAACTGTTCAGGTCAAGTGTGCTTTATTGTCCTTTAGCTGCAGGATCTGCCTTGAGTGTTTGGAAGCAGGTCACCTGCATCCCACCTGTGAGACACAGAGCCCTGGGCTGCTTTTCTTACAGGCAGCTGCCTGGCCTGCAGGGACAGCTGAGGGCAGCACAGCTGTGTGTGAGAGGCTGGCTGCTTTTGTCTGCTCTGGACAGCTTGTCCAGGCTTAACCCCAGCCAGCAGCAAAGCACCAGGCAGCCACTGGCACACTCACTCCCTGCCAGCCCCATCAGGGAGGGAATCAGAGAAGTTGAAGTGAAAAATTTGTGGCTTGAGAAAAAGACATTTTAGTAGGTAACCAAAAGCTCTGAATTCAAGGAAAGCAAAAGAAGGAATTAATTTACTGGGTTTTATCTTCAGTTTTACGATGTTTGAAATAACCAAGATTTCCAGTTGTATTTTGTACTGCCCTTTTTTATTACATTTGAGTAAACTTCTCAGCTTTAATACAGGAGAACACATCATAATGAAACTGAAAGTGAAAATCTTTTCTGGATTCCTGTAAATGGAATTGAAACTTCTTTCATGGCTAAGCTATTTAGGTGGTTATACAGTAACCCAGGAGCTTTAACCTTTCTGCTCTCAGAGCATTCTCTCTGCACACCCTGATAAGGGAGCGCTGTGTGAGGGCAGCATGTGGACCTCTCACATCTCTGCTTCATCCTGGAATACAAGAGAACTGATATTACTTTATCTGGGGAATTGTCTTGTTGTTCTTGAGAGCTGCAACATTTCACAGAAAGCAGAAGCTTGCAGTTGTACTGGGCATCTCTTTGCAGTCAGGGTGAGGTTGCTCATCATGGGCTGCCTTTCCTTGGAGCCTGGTGGGTGCATTGACAGGATTTGGTGGAACACAGCCCAAACCATAAGGTGAGAGTGTGAGGAAGGGCAGCAGAATCCATCACTTGTTGCATTTTGAGCCTTTGTAGGAGCTACTGGCAAGGCCCAAGACCTGCATTTGTCATGCAATAGAGTCAAGGCTGTTCTTTTCCAGAGACTGGAGACAAATATCCTGGATTATGGTCAGGGGCAGGGGTACAGCCTGTCCATAAACAGAGGAGATTTTGTAGACATTTCAAGCACCTGAATGTGGTGCACATCAGAGGATGAAAACCTGGGCTGATTCAGTGCTGGCCAGGGAAGCCTCAGCATCGTGCAACCTGGTCCCCTTGTCTGTGTTTGTGGGTAGGGTTAACATCAATCTAATCCATGAACTTTTTGCTGCAAAGTCTTCTGCCTTTACTTACAGAGGATCCCCCTGCAGCATCCTCTGCCATTTTTGGTAGCAACTGACAGACTGGTAGCCAAGACAGGTTTTAATCATGATCCAGCAGTTGTTGTTCTGCAGGAAAACTCTCAGCACAGTGACAGAGAGCAGTGTCAGGGGCATCCCATCACTGCATGGGAGGACGACTTGAGGATAGAGACTCCCCATAATGAGGTGTGGCCCCACTTCCTCGGTATCAAGATGACATTTTCCGCTCCACGGGTGGTTTTGGCACCACTCAAGGGAACGGAGCCTTCCTGCACGGGATGGGTGGTGCCAGACCTGCAGCTGCTCGGGCAGGAAGGTCTGTGACCCCAGAACGATTGCGCAATCGCCTCTGCCACGAGCTTTATAGCGGGAGCAGCGGGCTCTCGGTGTGTGTGTGTGTGTGTGTGTGTGTGTGTGTGTGTTGTGGTACAAAAGACAGAAGTCGGCTAAGGAAGGCGGGACCCTTCCTGGAAGAGAAAGGAGACCCCTCCTCCCAGATGGTCATGGCCTCGAAAGTACGGCTCTTTCAGGCAGAGATGTGGAAAGAGGGATCCGAGCTGCTCGGCGGAAAGGATCAGCGCGGCCGCCGAGCGCCGGGGGCGGGCGGGCACGGCCGGGCCGGGGCTGCGCCGGGGGAGCGGCGGGGAACCCGCGCGGATCCCAGATGGTCATGGCCTCGAAAGTACGGCTCTTTCAGGCAGAGATGTGGAAAGAGGGATCCGAGCTGCTCGGCGGAAAGGATCAGCGCGGCCGCCGAGCGCCGGGGGCGGGCGGGCACGGCCGGGCCGGGGCTGCGCAGGGGGAGCGGCGGGGGGGCCGCGCGGAGGGGCGGGCGGACAAAGCATTCATGATCATTCGAAAGCACCAGATCAATCTTCCCCCAGCCAGCAGGAAGGCAAAGCCAGGGTCCCTGCAGTGCTGGGGGTCAGGGATGTGAAGAATGAGCTGTGCAGCACCTGTGCTTCATCTCCCAATGTCCTGAGCCACACCATTTCCTTGGCACAAAGCTGATGTGTGCATTGTCCTGCAAGAAAACTGTTCAGGCCAAGTGTGCTTTATTGTCCTTTAGCTGCAGGATCTGCCTTGAGTGTTTGGAAGCAGGTCACCTGCATCCCACCTGTGAGACACAGAACCCTGGCTTGCTTTTCTTACAGGCAGCTGCCTGGCCTGCAGGGACAGCTGAGGGCAGCACAGCTGTGTGTGAGAGGCTGGCTGCTTTTGTCTGCTCTGGACAGCTTGTCCAGGCTTAACCCCAGCCAGCAGCAAAGCACCAGGCAGCCACTGGCACACTCACTGCCTGTCAGCCCCATCAGGGAGAGAAGCAGAAGAGTTGAAGTGAAAAACTTGAGACTTGACAAAAAGATGGTTTAGTAGGAGCATCAAAACCTTTCCAAGCAAGCAAAGAAATATAATTAAATGATTCCTTTTTTTAAATATAAGTTTTTCAATGTTTGAAATAATCAAGTCAAGAATTCCCGTTGTTTTTCAGCTGTCCTTTGTTATTACATTCAGAATTATTTTTAGTTTAAATACAGTAAAATATAATATAATCAAACTGAAACTGAAACTACTTCTGGGATTCCTGGAAATGGAATCAAAGCTTTTTTCACAGCTATACCAGTTAGGTGGTTTTACAGTTGGCAATGAGTACAGTCAAGGCTGCTCTTTTCCCAAAAGCCAAGACAAATATCCATGTATGTGCTCTGAGGCACAGCCAGGACGGCTGCAGCCCCTCCCTACATGGAGGGGCTTCTGTAGGGGTTTCAGCCATGTGAATCTGGTTCCCATCAGAAGATGAAAACTTGGGCTGAAGCCGCAGCATCGTGCAGCTCCGAGCCTGGCTGTGGGGTCGCAGCTCACTCTCTTTACTGTGTTTGCAGCTGGGTTCACACAGATCTAATCCCTGCTTTTTGCTGCAAAGTCGTGTGCATTTGTACGGGGCCATTTCAAATCCCTCTGCAGCATCTTCTACCATTTGTGGCAGCGACTGTTTGAGTGGCCCAAGGCAGGTTTCAATCAGCATCCAGGGTGGTTGTTCTGCCAGGAAATGTCCTGTGGAATGACAGGGTTAGTGCTGTTGCCCATCACTGGACGGGAGGAGCAGCTGGGGACAGAGGCTCGCTGCAATGAGGGGGCAGCTCGGCTTCCTCGGGTACAACATGAGAATTTCCAATCAACAGGAGTTCTGTGGCACCACAACTGGAAGTGGAGTCTTCTACTGCGTAGAGGGTCGAGTCTGATGGGACGGGCCGGCTTCAGAGCGGCGCTGGCAGAGAGCCCGACATGATTAACGCAATTTCCTCAGCCATGAGCTTTATAATGGGAGCAGCGGGCCGG